TTCACAGATGTGTGAATAGTTCTTACAATCAAGAAACTTAGAATCTAATGAGGCAGAATATATGTAAATAAGGTTTAGTATACAGTGAAGAGATAAATAGTAATTCTGCCAAGTTACTGTTGTTAGAGGGCTATTATTGGCTTCATACCGAAAGCATATAAGTACTGCACAATAGTCAAATCCAAATGCCCTTCTTTCTCAAGGGACTCTGAATGTCTCCCATACAACAAGGCAAACAACATAGCTGAAGGGACAAAAAGAAAAGACAGCCCTGGCCCAGTGGCTTATGCTTATAATCCTAGTACTTTGGGAAGCTGAGGTGAGAGAATCACTTGAGCCCAGGAGTTTGAGACCAGCCTAGGCAACGTAGCACAATCAAAAACAATTAGCTGAGTGTGGTGGTATGCGCTATTGGTCCCAGCTACCTGGGAGGCTGAGGTAGGTCAAGGCTGAGATGAGCCAAGATGGCGCCACTGCAATCCAGCCTGGATGACAGAGTGAAACCGACTCAAAAGAAAAAAAAAAAAAGACAATTCCACGGGATACCATTAAAGCAGGCAACCAATAGGGATAAGAGCATGTCTGAGCCTCTCCTCATGTCCTCTTCTCTGCATGAGCTCTGGTGGCTCATCTTCTAAGGATGAGAAGCCCCTCCTTTAGGATCTCAACTGCCTCCTTCACGGCCCTATCTCCAGATCCAGTCACCCTAGAGGTAGTGCTTCAAAGTATGAATTTTACAGGGACACAATTCAGTCATAACACCTCCCACCTATGTGATCTCACATTTATAACTCCTGGTCTCTGTAGGCCTCCTGCACAGCAACACTCAAATTTTTAAGTTCCCTGAATTTCCCATATTTTCTCCATGGTGTTACTCCTGCTTTTCTCTCTGCTTACTTTTTCTTGCTTCTCTGCCTGGCAAACTTTCAGCTCAACTTTTTCTTCTCTGACTTTCCTCAGAAAGAATTATTTTGTCTAGTATGTAAGCTCTGATATGGCATTATCAGGTTAAGCTTTTGATGGCAGATGTCAATAAATATTAGTATTTTTTAACATATGAATGGCGTAATACTTTACAAGACCTCACAATACTGTTGAACTCTGAAGCTAGCTCTCCATGAAATTATATTCATGAGATACTGCTACGCAATCATTTCTTTCCCTCCAAATTTGATATCCGAAGTAAGAGACCAGGGACTCTTGTCTCAGACTTTCAGGTATAAATTCAACTGAGGAAATACCTACTAATAAACATTATTGTTAATTTTATATTGAAGTCTATATCTTTACCTGATTTCCTGAAGGTGAAGGATTTCTAATTAGGAAAGACAATGTTATTTAAAACAAAAAGGATAAAACAAAACAAAAAGGATAAAACGGGCACACTTGGGAAACCCAGGACTCCCTAATGATGTGGAACAACCTCTTCAAGATGACACATTAATCCACTGCACAATTATTCAAACCCTGGTTATCTCCCTGGACTGCTGCAGTCCATTTGATTTCAGGACATAGTACAGTGTATGTCTCAAATACTGAGATTACAATCAGATTTTCAAGTTCATGCCCTGTGTCTAGCATTCACAGTCAATGGGAACATACAGCCCAGATAATAGAAAAATCTAGCTGCTACATCTCCCACTCATAATAGAAACTGTCCGCTGACCCTGATAATATGGAAGTCACTTATGACATCTCATTGTACTCACAATAATTTAACTAGTGATTTCTCTACATAGATGATACTTCTTATGGTCTGAAATAGGTAGTCTCAGGTCTCAGTTTGTAATTAATTACTAGCTCTGTAAAGTTAGGCACATTTATTACTCCGTTGTTCACAGTTCTCATCTGTATAATAGGGATGATAAAGCCCCCTTCTCAGGACGACTGGCAGGATTAAATGAATTAATACATGTAAAAATACTTAGACTAGTACCTAGAATTTAGCACTCAAACGTTAGCTATTATATTTATTATTATTGAAGTATTGCTTACCTGGAATTAATCCAATTATATTCCAATACGTAAGACTGCAGTCTCAGAATTCTGCATAGACATCAAAGTTGACAACCAACCAGGTAAGCATCCATATGATGTCTTAAGTTTGTTTATGGGCCAGACTAGAAGATGTGAGCCAAATGCTTTGGTACACAAAGTAAAGATGGACCAAAAAAACCAAAACAACAACAACAACAACAACAAAGGAATGAGTGAAGAGGGGAAGCTATGCAGATAAACAAAACCGCTCAATTATGTCAGTTACTGTTTTTGTAGAGTTAAAAATATTTGTACCATTGCTGCTATTTTGGTGTAAGATTCTTTTGAAAGGATAGCATATCCTTTTTAATGCATTCATAGAAACCTTAAATTCTAGAAGTACAAGAAGTTCATAGAATGCATTCTATGAACATCTGAGCATATTCATTTTCAAGACCCATAACTGGAGTCCTTTTCTTGGTGTAATTTTGAAACCTGTAAATACTCTTGGCCATGCTAGCCATGGGAGTCGTCTTCAGCTTTGAGGTCCAGTTCAGCAGTGATTTCATGAGATATCTGTGGCAATCATTATAGACAGAAATTCTTATTTTTTTCTTCCCCCTCTGTCTCAGTGACAAAATACTGTTATGAGTTTTACTTGGAAGGTCACAAAAACTTGGAAACATTGTACTTCAATCTAAATGTCAGATTAATTCAGCAACCTTCTCTACTGCACTAAATGACTACTCTTTCCTTCTAGGTATTCAGGCGAAAAACTTGGGAGTCAATCTTTATTCCTCCATTTATGTTCACACCTCATACCCAGTTTACAGAAATCCTGTGGCTCTAGTTTAAAAAAAAAGGTCAGAAACCAATCATATCTTATTACCTGCCCTGGTCTGAGTTATCAGAGTATCTCACCTTAATTACTGCAATACTTTTTAAACTGGTCTCCCATCTTCTACTCTTACCTGCCTTCCCTATGGTCTATTCTCAACAAAGGAGCTAAAATGATTCTTTAAAAATTTTAAGTCATTAGACCATTCTGCTCAAAACCTTTCCATAGCTCCGTATCTTACAGTAAAAGTCAAGTCCCTTATAAGACATCTATATGCTCACTCACCAGCCTTCTTCCCACTTATACCCACTGACTTTGTGTATCTCTTCCTGCCGGGAATGCTATCCCTTTATGTATCTGCATGCCTAGTTACTCCCTCTTTCCTTCTTTACTCAACTGTTACTCAGGAAGATCCATCCTGACTCCTCTATTCAAATAAGCATGGGTCTACACACACCTATACAGCACCTAGCCTGTCCTCTAGTTTTCTCCATAGTGTTTATCATTAGTTAATACAGAAGTTCCCAAAGTTGGTCTCAGAACATTTGTTGAAGCTGGTGATGCTGATGCTGGTGGTCCAGGGACCACTTTTGAGAACCACAGCTTCAATGGTATCTCTTCTCTCAGGTTCTCAGTCTTTCTGCATTGGGTGGGGCTAAACCACTCAAACTTTAGGGACCACCTAAAGTGTCTGTTAAAACTCAGAATGCTGAAACTTATCCACAGAGTTTCTGATTGGGTAGGACTCAGATAGGGTCCAAGATCTGCATTTCAAATCACACTTTGAGAATCACCGTGAATATATGATATACTTTTCATTGTTTGTCTGTTTCCTCCCTGATAAAATGTAAACTCTATGAAGCAGGATGGTTTTCTTGTTTTCTCTTACAAACAACACCAAGCACACAGTAGCTGTTCAATAAAGAATACCTGTTGAAAATAAATGAAAATTGCTTACTCTAGTTTTACATTGGAAAATGTCTCCAAATTTTGTCAGATTTTATGTGAAAAAATACAAATACAAATATTATACAGTTCAGTCTCCTCATGCAAGAAAGCATTTTTAAGCACTGCGCCACAGAGACAACTGGGATTTTCTGATGGTTGGGAAATAAATAATTATTAACAATTTACATTATCATAGCATTAATATTGACAACAATAAACATTTGCGAAATGCTACTATTTGCTAAGCACCTCATGCACTGTATCCCAGTTAACTCGCATAACTGAGATGGCTAGTGGTGTTATTTCCATTTTGCAGAGAAGATCTCTGTCACACCATGCAGCCCCCTAATCAGTGGACTCCATCCATGGTTTCCATATTGTCTCTTTCCCTCCATGTGCACTTCCAATTGGCATTCAATAGGTAAGGTGTGAGATAGGAGGTGAGGGGTATATTTTTTAGTGTCCAGACATGTTAAGACTCAATTAAAATTTGCTAAACTTAATTTACCTTTTATAACACTAAAGATCATTCCAGGTCGGGTGTGGTGGCTCAAGCCTGTAATTTCCGAGTTTGGGAGGCGGAGGCAAGAGGATTGCCTGAGCTCACAGGTTCGAGACCAGCCTGAGCAACATGGTAAGACCTCGACTCTAAAATAAATTTCAAAATTATCAGAACATGGTGACACATGCCTGTGGTTCCAGCTATTTGGAAGGCTGAGGCGGAAAGATCACCTGAGCCCAGTAGGTCAAGGCTGCAGTGGGCATGAGCATGCCACTGCACTCCAGCCTGGGCAACAGCTCCGACTCAAAAATAAAACAAAATAAAGATGATCCCAGTCACTTTTCTACTATAATAACATTCTAGGGAACTATATCATAGCAGCTGGATTTCTAGATGCACACATTGAACTCTACAAATGTTCATATATCTGATAAAATATATGAAAACATTTTTTAAGAGGTGTTTTTTGGTGACTGTTATTGTGATAATTTAAATAGCTCATTCAGTCTGAATATTTATTGTACCAAACCCTGTGCAATAGCCTTATATTTATGCAGAGAAAAATAGACACACATGATTATGAGTTAGTGATTCACTTTTTCCCCCCTGCAGACTGTTAAACTAGGTATCCATAACTTTTTCTTAAAGGGTAAGATAGCAAATATTTTAGACTTGTGAGACTCTGCAGTTGTGGAAAGCAACCACAGACAAAACACAAGTGAATGGGTACGGGTATTGATTTGTTTCAATAAAACTTTATTTACAAAACAGATGACCAGTCCGTGGGTCACAACTTGCTGACCCCTTTGTTGAAAGATTCCAATCTTTGTGGCATGAATGAAATAAATTAGATAAATTTCAGGTAAGTTAAGTCAAATTTTACCTTTTTGAAAATGTTTCTTACTATGGAAACATCCACATTCCTATAACTAAAAATAATGACTTAAAAAATTCTGGCATGCAAATCAAAACTGACATTTGGCTCTGTCATAAGGTGAACTAGTTAAAAGAATCCTTGTATTTATTTTTACACAACACAAATGCAGGTGACACAGTAAGTTCATAATTTCCCACAAAACATAAAACTTAACAACTGGGAATCTAAAGTCTTATAGTCTTCTGTATCACTTACAGTGATCCACTCTATGGAATCCATTCCACAGCAGCGAAGAGAACCTTAACTTAAAGCACCAAGTTTCCAGGCATCACTACAAATATCTTGCTTTTGTTCTCTAATACATATAGTCAAACTGCCCATGAAGCCAATGCCAATTCACCTTAAGCTTCAATTAATAAGGGAAAGTAATTGGAAAACCAACATTATTCTTAAGCCTAAAAGTGATCCTATCTCCTTACCTAATTATTCCTCCCATGAACATTTAAAATTTTAATGTAGTTATATTAAACATGAATAAAAATTGAGTTCTGAACATAATGTCTTTCAGATTCATCTGAAAGTTTAGGATGTTCATATTTGTTTTATGTCTTAAGGAAAATAAAAACATGATCTCTAATCTAGAATATTCTGGCAATCTTTATTAAGAGTTAAATTTAGACTTTTATATAGCAAAGTAACATGGTCTACTAGCCCAAACATTGTAGATTAAAAAAAAACTGCCCTATAATGTATGTAAATTAAGATACAAAGCTTATTCCCAATATACATTTTATAGAGATGGGTTTTCATTTTATGAAGCAAGGTTCAATGAGCATTTTTAGGCTCTTGTTAACATCAGCCCTTTATACTCAGATGACCGGATCCACTAAATGGACAATGAAAACTGGCTAAGGCTGCTGCTGAATGCTTCAATAAAAATCTGATACACAGATTTCACTGTCATATTCTATGGAACTGAAGTCTTCCTTAAACTGTGATCTTGATAGGCTGAAGACAGAGAAATGAACTGTTAGATCCTTACGCCAAAAATACATGGGTCTATTGTACCAGGGGTTCATTCTCTGCCTGTTGTCAGTAACTTCAGTGCCTTCTGTAGATTCTGTACAGCGGTGCTTACATCTTCATACTGCAAAGCACTGCCTGCATATTTGCAGTATTTCTGAGCTCTAGCAAAGTCCTCTGGGGTTAGACGAATATCCCCTAGAACAAAAAAATAAACATATATATAAGAACATAAAAAGTGTTCCGTTAGGTTAGGCAAACACTTTTGTTTCAGATTTAAAAAATATTTAAGGCTATGTGAAAATACAAAGATTTTTATCTTTTTTTGAGTGCAGTGGCCGCTCCTGGCCACTGCAGCCTCGACCTGCTGGGCTCCGGTGATCCTGCTGCCCCAGCCTTCCAAGTAAGAATTTTTTCAATACCATCTGAACTTGGATAAATTTTCTTCATTCTTTTTCAGTTTTGTATTACTAATAAAAACCACAAATATGACAATACATAATAATTCATATAAATAAGATTTCCCTTCAAGGAGTAATAAACTAGAAGTATTCATATTTTAGTAAGTTAATTGCAAAATATAGTTTGTGTGAAATAAGGACAGTAATTTTGGTGTTTATGCTAGAATAGCTAAGCTTCTCTCATTAATGGAACAATACACACAGACTAAACTATTCAACCCTCAGTTGAACTAGAATATAAATATAACCTTTAATAAAATAGGCAAATAACAGACTTTATGCAAAAAATTACAAGTTAACTAAACTCTTTTTGGCATGATAAAAATTTTTCGCATTTCTGTGCCATCCATTTAAAAAAATTCTTAAGGCTTGCCAAAATTTTATATCATTAAAATGTACAATTAAACATGTAAACAATCACTACAATTTATTTCTCCAAAATTTATTCTCAGTAATTTTCTAATTATACATATAATTAATATATCCAGGGCTCAACTAAATAATGTGAGTAAAAAGACACACTAAAAACATTTAGTTTAATCTAAGATATGAATATCCTTGTATATATATTTCTAAAGACAAAGTTATAAACTGACATTATTTTGTTTTTTGAAATAACTACTATTTCACCATTTTCTTTGGAAATTTTTATGAAGAAAAGAAGTACTAATGAGAAGGGTGGGGCATTAAATTTAATGAGCAGATGATGTATTTTAATTATGTTTTTAAAATCATTACTTAACATGATTTGCTTAGTTGCTTTTAATTTACACACACACACACACACACACAGCAAAAACTTAAACATTTGCCATTATTAGGTAAAGATTTTAAAGTAGGTAGCAACTCCAGATAGGCTGATATTAAATTATGTTCCAAATTATTATATTCTAAAATTTTCAAAAAGAGCACTGAAATAATTTAAAGTTTCTAGTTCAGTGTCAAGTACCTATAGGCTGTTCAACAACTTTACCGTACGAATATGAAAAAGCTGATTGTAATTTAAATTATTTCTCACATTTTAAAATAAAGTTCATACAAACACTAAATTTCAGGTTTTAAGATAATAAACATATATTTACATATAGTAACTCGTGCAGGGTGTCATAGTAAGTCTTCAAATATTTGTTGAACTAATACTATTTTAGAGTATGTCAAATACAGTCCCCAGTTATGATAGTGTTAGAGACAGAATTTTTTTTAGTTTAACTAAAAGCTGCTTTATAAAAGTTGGTGCCCCTATGTTGGGTACATATATGTTTAGGATGGATATTTCTTGATGGATTAAAACTTTTATCATTATATGGTGACCTTCCGTATCTTTTAAATTTTTTGATAGCTTAAAGGATATTTTGTCAGAAAAGACCGCAACTCCTACTATCTTTTGTGTTCTGTTCACCTGAAAATTTGTTTTCCATTCTCTTACTTTGAGAGAGTGTCCATTCTGGTGAGATGAGTCTCCTGGAGACAGCATGTTGTTGTGTCATGTTTTTTAATCCAATGTGCTGTTCTGTGTCTTCTCAGGAGTACATTTGGTCCATTCATGTTCAGGTTATTGAGATTTGAGAGTTTATTCCTTTCATGAAGTTCTTACAGGGTTTGTTGCTGTTGTCATTGTTTGCTGGCTTTCTTTTGATTTCGGGGTTGATATATGTATGTATTTTCAATCTTTTTCCTGCATTCTTGGGGGAAGCGTGGTCGTTCTTTTTTCTTTCTTTCTTTTGTGTTTCATACTTTAAGCGTTTCTTGTAGCTGATCTGGAGGTGGTGTAAACTCTCAGGGATTGAATGTCTGGGAAGGATTTGAATTCCCCATTGCTGATGAAGCTTAACTTAGCTGGACAGAAAACTCTTGGTTGGAATTGTTTATCTTTGAGAATTTTGAAGATTGGACTCATCTCTTCTATCCTGTAGTGTTTCTGTAGACAAGTCTGCTGCTATTCTGATTGGTCTTCCCCAGTAAGTAGTCTGACCTTTCCCTCTTGCTGTCCTTAGGATTTTTTCTTTTATACCTATTTTGTGTAGGTAAAATATTATGTGTCTAGAAGTTGATCTTCTCATTTGATGTCTTGCAGGAGTTCTCTGAATCTCTTGTGTTTCAATGGTCACGTCTCTGATTAGATGAGGGAAGTTTTCTTTCATAGAATATTTGTTACATGGTGGTCTCTGTTTCTATATCTATCTCAGAAATGCCAATTAATTGTAGGCTTGGCCTCTTGATATAATCTTACATCCCTTAGAGGCTTTGTTCTGTCTTTTTAAGTTTCTTTTCTGTGTTTTTAACAGTTTGAGTTAGTTCCAAATTTTGGTCTTTAACATCATCTCAGTTATCAACTCCTTCACTCTTTACTCTTGTCTCTCATTTCTATTCATTCTATTAATATCTTGATGCCTGGGTTTATGGTTTGAGAACAGTCATTCTGGGGACTCTTAATTGCTTTAGTTCCAAAGTCTGTATTATCAGGTGCTGTTTGCTTAGGAGTCTGTATGAGACCTGTGTTCTTCTTTTCATCCTTCTTCACTTGTGATGGTTTTCCTCCCTCTCCTCCCATTCTTTAATTCCTCTGCTCAGTAATAGGGGAGATAGTTTTCACTTTTGTTTGCTAATTCCCCTATTTTTCCTTATGTAGATCCTCTGGATTTGTTCAATTTCGAGGTTGTACTGAGGATGAGGGGACTGCTTTTTGCAGTTTTGCAGTTTGATTAAGGTGTGACGGGGGAGTTGAAGTTCAGAAGCTATCTTCAGATCACAATATCTGCTGATAGGTGTGTGGGTCCCACCACCTTACAATTTTCCATGCGGTGACAGCATATGTATGCCCCCTGAAAGCAAAATGAGATAAGAAAAAGGAAAAGAATGGAAAAAGGAAGAAAGGGTATGAAAGGAAGATGAAAAGAGAGAAGGAAAACAGGCCCACCAACTAATGAATAAACAAACAAACAAAAACAACTAAAAAAGAAGCATACAAGTAAACACACAAAAAAACCCTGATGACATACTTGCCTTCAAAAATACCCATAGGCTAACAGACTGAAAAACACCAAAAAAGATAAAAAACATAACAAATACTAAAACATAAGCAAAAAACAGAAAAAAAAGAGCTCCCTCTGTGGCTGTTTCTGTAACTTCAGGTTCCTTTCCCAAGCACTGCTGCCGCTTCTGGCTGTAGCTGTGACAGGGAGCGGGCTCTGGTCCCCAGCCCCTCCTCTCCAGTCATGGCGCGGGCCTATCAGGTTCTCTTAGTGTGGGTCAGACACCCCACAGACTGCTGTGGGAGGAGGGTGAATCAGATCTGAACTCACCCAATTTGTCTGCTGCTGCTGCTGTTGCTGCCAAGTCTCCCACTCAGATCAGATGTGTCATGTCTGGTCCAGTGTAGAGGTGGGGCCTCTGTCTCTTTGTGTCTGCTTCTGAAGATCCCCTTTGGGTCAGTGAGGTTCATCCCAGAGGGGAACAGAGATCACCTCTGGGTCTCAGGTTGGAGGCTGCACAGAGCCAGAAGGGCTAACACGGGTCTCTGCCAGTTCCAGTACAGAGAATGATGGCAACTGATGTCTCTTCACCGCCAGTGGGCTCAGCTCCAGATTTCCTCGCTTCGCTTTCTCCATGGCTCCAACTGTTAGTGCCCGGCCTGCTGCCGCAGGTGGTGGCGTGGGTCAGGTGCCAGGTGCTGAGGAGCAGTTGACCTTCACTGTCTCCTCCTGAGATACCCTGAGAATGGTTTCCGATCCTGAACGTTGGGGGCTCGGATCTCAGGATAGTGGTGGGTTGCAGCCATCTCCAGATAGCCCCAGGTGCTTGATCCTGATTCTCCCTGCAGAGGGACTTTGACTCACTCAACTGCACTCACTCACTCACGCAGACTGTCCTTATGGACACACCCTCACAGAGACTTTCACACTCCCACTGGTCCCAATGCCTTCTTGTCTCCCAATCCATTTTTAAAAATACTTTATTTTTTAGAGCTTTTAAGTACATGACAAAACTGAGAGGAAGTTATAGAGATTCCCTTATCACCCCTTCCTCACAAATGCATAGCCTCCTTCATTATCAACATCCCCCACCAAAGTAGTATGTTTGTTATAACAGCCTGCACTGACACATCATTATCACAGTGTTCGAGATTATTATCACAGTGTCCACATCCTTGCCAGCATATGTTATTGCCTATCTTTTTGATATCAGTCATTTTAACTTGGATGAAATGATGTTGCCTTGCAGTTTTGATTTGCATTTCTCTGATGAGTAGTGATGTTGAACATTTTTTCATATAGCTGTTGGCCATCTGCATGTTTTCTTTTTAAAAATGTTCATATCTTTTGCCCACTTTTAAATCAGATTACTTGTTCTTGGGCTATGTGAACTCCTTATATATTCTGGTTATTAATCTCTTGTTGAAGGATAGTTTTCAAATGTTTTCTCACATTCTGTGGGTTGTCTCTTCACTTTGTGGATTGTTTCCTTTGCTCTGTAGAAGCTTTTTAGCTTGATCTAATCACATTTGTCTATTTATGCTTTGGCTGCCCGTGCTTCTGAGGTCTTACACAAAAAAATCTTTGCACAGACCAGTGTATCGACACACTTCCCAAATGATTTCTTGTAGTAGTTTCATAGTCTCAGCTATTATATTTAAATCTTTAATTCATTTTGATTTGATTTTTGTGTAGGATCTATTTTCATTCTTCTGTATATAGTTATCTAGTTTCCCCAACACCACTAATAAAAGATTGTCTTTTC